CTGGCCCCCTGCTGGGGCTCCTACAGCCGCACAGCCCCCATAGAGGAAGGCCTTCTTCTGGGTGAGCTTCGGAGGCAGCCGCTGAGTGGGCTGGGACCCGGCTCCAGTCTTTAACAGGCTGCCCTTACTCTGCCTAAGTTTCCAGGTTTCCCCAGCCTAGCCAGGTGTGGTTATCTACCCGACGGACTGGGAGCTCTTGGCCTTGTGAGTGTGGGCACATTACATGCTCTCTCTGGGCCTCAGTTCCCTCCTCTTTCAAAAGGGACTCATACTACTCCTTATTTAATGAGTATGCAAGGAGGTGACTTAAAATAGTGCCCGGGAGACGACATGCAGGCAAAAACTGTCAGCCACCATCCATCCATCCATCCATCCATCCACCCACCCATCCATCCATCCATCTATCCATTCACCCACCCATCCATCAATCCAACCATCCATCAATCCATCCATCCATCCATCCACACACCCATCTACCTGTCTATCCATTCATCCATTTACCCATCTACTTGCCCATCCACCCACCCATCTACCTGCCAATCCATCCATCCTTCCACCCACCCATCCATTCATTGAGCTGGATCTGTTGCTGATGTGCTCTAAGGGAAGTGAGAGCTGAACCCCTCCTCCCCACCCAAGGCAATAGCTCAGAGGTGAGGGGGGTGGGGCTGCTGGTATGGACCGTTGTCCTCACACACAGCTTACTTAGACAAAATCAGGAAGCTTCCACAATGTAAACCTACATGGGCTATAAATTCCGTGCAAGCAAGTACTGGCTATCCTGTTATCCAGCCTCTGGCGCTGTAACTGGCTCAAAGAAGGAGGATCATCTACATCTGTTCAAATCAAAATGAACTGTGCATCAAATTACAGGGGTACAAGATAGTTCCTCTATTAGTCACAGCACAGAAGAGAAACTCTTTGTATGCACGAGCACATCAGAGAACATTACTGAGAAAGTAAAGACAGTCTATAGATGGGAGAAAATATTTGAAAATCATATACCTGTAAGGGTTTAACATCCAGAATATATAAAGAGTTCCTACAATTTAACAACAGAAAAACAAAGAACCCATTAAAAACAAAACAGGCAAGGGAACTGAATAGGTGAGGACTATACACAAATAGCCAATGAGCAGATGCACACATCGTTAGTCATTAGGTCACTGCAAATCAGACAACGGGACAGCATTTCACACCTACTAGGATGGCTGCAGTTAAAAAAAAAAAAAAAAAAAAGCAAGCTAACAAGCGTTGGCGAGGATGTGGAGAAACTGGAACTCCCCTGTGCACGGCTGGTGGGAATGTGACATGGTATACCCCTGAGGAAAGCAGTTAGGGGTTCCTCAAAAAGCTAAAAACATGATCCAGCTTACCTCCTTCTAGGTGAACATACAAAAGGACTGAAAACGGGGACTCAAACTGGAACTTGCATGCAAATGTTCACAGCAGCACCATTCACAAACAGCTAAAGCGTGCAAATAATTCAAGTGTCCGTGATGGACAAAACAGACGGGTACACAAGTTGTGGTGTTTCCCTGCAAGGGAACATTATGGGTCTGACACCCGCTAGGACGTGGATCAGCCTTGAAATGCACGGGAAGTGTCATATACCAGACACCGAAGGACACACAGGGCGTGAGGCGGGAAGGAGATGGAGGTGACTAGCGGCTGGGCAGGGGGAAGCGGGACCCATTGCGGAACAGGTGCTCAGTTTCTGTTTGGGACGATAAAGGCAAGTTTTAGAAATGTTGGTGACGCTTGCACAACACTGTGAAGGTAACGGGTGCCCATATACCCTTACGACGATTGAAATGTTGTATATATTGAACATCCATTTAAAAGAACAAAAACCAAACAAAATAACCCAAACGCAATTCCCTTACCTCCTCCCCCACAACTCTGGAAAAAAAAAACAAACCTGTTTTTTCCTGTTCCCAAAATCATGCCCTCTCTCTTCAGGCTTCTCTGACCCCCAGCCCCACATCTGATGTGTGGGCCACTCCTGCCAGCTCCGTGAGCAGCGCACACGCAGAGCCCGACCCCCTCCCCCAACCCACGCCCTCAGCACCTGATACCTGGCTCTGGGTATCCTTCGCACCTGAGTTCCGGCTCCCAGAATGCCCTTCCCCCACCTCCTTCAGGTAGGTAGGTGTTCCCATGTGTTCATCAATGAGGGCATCCCCAGAACCCTGTTTATCCTCCCACTCACCGCCCCCACCCCTGCCGCCGCCCTCTGTTGCCTCCTTATTTGGCTCCTCCATGCTCTCCCTGTCTTCGTGGAACTTATTGCCGGCGAACACATTGGATATTTCTCCTCCATGGTCAAGAAAGCTTCACGAGGGCCGTGCCTTCGTCTGTTGTCCCCAAGCCCCCAGGACGCGGGCCGGGAACCCGGGAAGCGGAAGCGCTTTGCAACTGTTGGCTGAGCAGCGAGCGCAAGCTGCAGGAGACACACTCGCCCTTCCCTCCTGGCCGCCTGGGATCCGCACCCTGCCTCTGGCCCATAGCTGCTGTCTGACCTTCAACAGTGTCTCCATGCCTCAGTTTCCTCATCTGTAAGTGGGTCCAGTGCACGGAGGGAGTGACGCAGCGAAGGTACCATAAAAGGGTTTCACGTACCACGCACGCAAGGGACCGGTCCGTGAACTTGGCTATCTGCCCTCCCCCCTGCTTTCCCTTCCTTCTCCCTCCGTCTTCCCTTTCTCCCTCTGTGCCCAGTGTGCCACCCGTGTGGTCAGGCTCTCGGGACATCCCAGCAGGGTTCTGAGGTATGCCCAGAAGTGAGGGGGGCAGGCATGGTCCAGGGGAGGGGATGCTCACCTCCTCCTCTCCTCAACTCCACCTGCCCTTGTGGGAGGGGCTCATGAATAAGCAGCTTATGAGTAAGTAATGAGGGAGCTGCTCAAGGAGGCAGCACGGGCATCGATCACCCCAGGGAAGCAAGAACGGGCTGGTCCCAAGACAAGTCACAGAACACCAGGTTCAACTTTGCACCTGGGTCGTACGGACCGGAGCTTGGAGTTAGGGTGACAACGACGAGCGGAAGAGTGACCATGAACCAGTACTCGTGCGGAGCAGAGACACCAGGCGGAAAGGCTACCGCGTCAAGCGCCCTCACGACCACCCTCCAGACGCACAGATGCGGCCCAGAGTGGTTAAGGATGTTGGCCCTAGTCACACAGCCACTGGCCGCACAGCCAGGGCTCGCGTTGGGCCCTCACTGCACGAGGTTCCGGGGCAGACCAAGCGGGGTTCGCCTGCACGTGCCAACGGCAGCCTCTGGGTCCTCATGACCAAAAGAGCTAAAGCGTGGCATGCTGCTAGGAGGGTCTGTCACAGTTTCTCGCACGTCTGCTGTGCTGGGACAAGGCACGCAGGGGCCAAGCTAGGAATGGAGGTTGGGACACGGGTCCTAAGGTCTTACTCCTGTGAGCCCTGATGCCAGGAGCAGAGCAAGCAGGGAGACCCTCCCTCCACACCCAGCCCCAGGACAGGAGAGGAGTCTGCAGAGTCGACCTGACCAGCGCTGTGCCTCAGAGCTGACCCATCAGGGCTCCCCCAAACCTCCCAGCTGAGATATGGCCCATTCCCCCACCTAAAGACTATGAAGACCAAAGACCAGGCCCTTGGCGAGCACCTGCTTGTGGGTGACTCTGCCTGCGACAGGGTAAGGGACAGCCAAGGCCTCACAGGAGCGGCTCTTGGCTTGGAACCAGCAAGTACCAACTGTACGGTCTCAGTTTCTCTGTCTGTACAATGGGGATGATTCCGCTCTCACCTTACAGGGTTGGATGAAGGAGTAAGTGTGTGCAGTGCTGAATTCTGTGCCCAGGTGGAGGTGAGAGCTCGGTGAGAGGAGTCCGGGGCTCCCATAACCGGCTGCATACAGAACAGGTCAAGTCTACCCGGGAGCTCGAGGAGGCCACTGGAGACGGCAGGCCAGCCTGGCCAGGAACCCCCATCCCCCTCCTGCACCCTGCTCTGGCCGGCAGGGCCCCTCTCTCTTCCTCCTGAGCCCTTAATTTGAGAAGTACGCAGTGTCACTTCTAGAAAGGAGCCAAACTGGGCTGTTTCAGGAGCAGACGTCACAGTAAGTTTCTCCATGGGAATCCAGAGAGAAAGAAAGGAAAAGGGGCTGCTGCGCGGGGCTGGGGGAGGAGAGGCCGGAGAAGGAGTAAGAAGGAGAGCTTCCCATGCTATAGTTAGCAGCTCCCAGTTCCGGGGGGCATTCTGATTGTAGGGTGCACTATCCCACCCAGGGCGCTCCCGAGGGTGGGGCTCAGCCCCGTAGCCACGGCCACTGTCCCGCTGGCTCCCGGCTTTATTCAATAACCTCTGAACTGGGAGGGAAAATCATCCAGGAAACACTGCTTGGGTCATTTATTTTAAAATTATTGGTATAAAAATATCCAGGGTCGTGATTTATGCGCAGGGAGGGGCCCAGGAAGTCAGGGACTCCCCCTCCCAACTCCAGTCAGACCTCATTTGTCTGACCCCCCCAGGGTCCCCCCCGCAGTCCCCCCGCAGTTTCCATGATGACTTCAAGTCATAGGAGTTACTTTATATCGCAAATAAATCTCCAAAATAGCACGGAAATATTATGTGTATTAATAGCGCCTGTAAAAACATCCGAAAAGCTTCCATCCGCCGGGGCACGGACGCCGCACGGCTGGGAGATGCTCTCCCGGGACTGGGGACGCACGGCCGGCCTGGCAGATGCCTGCCCCCGGCCCGGCCCCGGTGGTCCATCTGCCGTCTGTTTGTCCGTGGCTGACCCCAGTGACCTGCCGCCGCCGACCGAGGCCCCCTCCCCCGCCCCTCACCAGGGAACACCATGGGGCCGGGCCCCGCCACGGGACACCGGTGTCCCCGTCTCCTCCTGCCCCTCGTGCGCCGCTCAGTCCCGGGGAAGCGGCTGTCCCCGGACGTCCCGACGCCAACGCCGCCTCGCTCAGGGTCCCTCGCCCCGCCCCCCGCCGCTGCCCCCGGATACTCACGGGCTGCAGGGGCTTCCTTGGGGGACAGCCCCTCGAGGTCGATGTCGCCCTCCAGCATGGCGTGGCTGAGCTGCCCGGTTCCGGTGCGCCCCGGACGCGCGGCGTCCAGGAGAGGGGGCGACAAAGTCACCCCCTGAGGCCTTCGGCGGCTCCGAGGGCAGGGGGTCGAGCCCAGCTTGGGAGGGGACCGTCCCCCTCCTCCTCCTCCCAGACGCAGGACGCGAAGCCGCGCGCGCCGGAGCCCAACTTGGCCGCCCTCGCGCACGGCGGCCGCGCCGCTCCTCCCCCTGGGCTTTTTGGGCTGGGGGTCCCGCCGCCCTCCCCGCCCCCGGGGCTACCTGCGGACGCCGCCCTCGCCCCGCCCCGCGCGCAGCGCGACGCCCCGGCCGCCACCCGGACACCGAACTCTGGCGCGGGACGCTGAAGAGCCTCGGCGCTCGGCCCGCGGGCCCGGCCCGCCCCCGGCCTCCTGCTCCACCGGCCGCGTCTCCACCCGCCCGGACCGTCGTATCAGTCGGGGCGGCCAGTGGGGCCCCAGGGGGCCGTGCGCGGCGCCCCCAGCCAGGGCCCCAAGCGGGGATGGGGGTGGGGGGCAGAGACCCAGCCCCGAGAGAAAGAGGGCACTGCCTGCGCAGATGCGTGGGTGGCCCGGGTTCAGCCTCAGTGGAGGGTACTCGGCCCCCTCCCTCGGGCGGTGGGACCCTAATTCATCATTGCGGCCGTTTGTCCGGAGAGGAGGAGGCAAGCCCAGGGATGGGAAGGAGATATGGGGTTTGCAGGGCAAGTGCCTGGCCTGAGCTTGAACCCCCAGCCTGTGCAGAACTTGGGTATCTGGGTAAAGTGTGAATTGTCCCCGGTGGGGCGGCGGCGCTTTGAGGACTGTAGTTAAGCAAGGCAAAGAGAACTTGGCAGGGGCGGGAGCTCTGACCCACACCCCCAGGCCGGCTGAGGGCTAGAGGGGTGGGGAGGGCAGGTGTGGCTCTGCAGCCCTGCTTGTGTTTAGGAAGCAAGGTCTGCACGATTCAGTGCCCGCCGAGGCAGCAGAGATGCAGGCACCGTGGAGAGCTGGGAGAGTTGCAGGCTCCTCGCCTCCTGTGGCCACGAGCCCACACCCCTGACACCCCGGGATAAACACAGTAAACTCTGGGGCAGAGCTGGCCTAGACCAACGGCGAAAGCCGCTCCCTGACCATGGCATGGGTGGTGGCAGGATGGGGGCAGCCTGGCCTTTTGGAAGGTCGCCTCGCACTTTGCACCCCAAGGAGGAGCCAGGCTCCTGCCTGGTCCAGAACTGCAGACCACCTGCCATGTAACAGCCCACAAGCCACTGGCTGTGGCTGGCCTCAGGTGGAGACAGACCCAGTCCTCCCGGGGGCCCGACTTTGTTCACAAGCAAGGAATCTATGCATCCTTGAGGACGGCCTGCCCTCCCTGAACCCCACAGGCCTGCCCTGGGGGGAAACGCTCACTGGTAGTAGCCGCAAAACCGAAAAGAAATGTGTCCCGCCGAGCATTCTTCCCTGCTCCCCCTACTCAGAGCCTTATGCACAGAGAGGAGAGTCAAGCCTTCCCCCTCCCAGCCTGGGAGGGAGGAGGGTCACCTGCTGTGGTCTTTAGTATTTATCTTGTTTGCAGTCTGCACTGAGGAGCTGGGAGCCGAGGCCCCGCCCCGGGTGGGATTTGAAGGCTCATCCCATGAGGAGTTTCCAGAAAGCTCCAAAAGGTGTGGGCTGGGTACCCCAGGTGCCTGTCCCTGGGGGGCGGAAGAGGGTGGATGGCAGTCAAGTAGAGTGGGGGGCCCTGGCTGGGGCCACAGGGACTTCACAGAGCTTTTGCCTCTGGCCCAACCCACCACCGTGCAGGAGCGGAGATAAAGACTCATTTTTCTTGGAAGAGTCTGATGGCCAATGTGGTACATGCCACCAGCCCAGTTGTATAAATACACAGAGAAAATGTTAGAGTTCTAACCCCTGGAACCATGAACTATAAACCAAAAAAGCTCAGGGGGGAAAAATGTAAATAGGTACCAGAGCTGTTTTTAGCCGTCATTGTTTACCTTTCTGGGGGGGCAGGGCTGGCCTATTGTATATTTAGGCGACGTTCAAATGCACATTATTTAATGCCTTATTATTAGCAGAAATATGTTAAACAGCCATTAATAGATGTTGATTCATTCCAGCTAAAGCTATTTTTCTTCTTTTCATCCCCTTGGCTCCGGTTAAGCTGTGCTCTGATGTGAAACCCTTCGGCCCGCTGCCGACTCCTGCATATGCAGGAAAGCCGGCCGGAGCTCCAGACTGTTTAAAACGATGTTTGATCCAATCCAGTTGAAAAAGATATTTTAATAAATACCTGAACTCGCTCATTTCTACAAAGATTGGCTTCGGCTGTGAGGTTGGTAAACGGTGCTGTGCCAGGACGATGGCAGGCAGGGGAGAAGGGGGACTGAGTGGGCAGAGTGTGCCCCAGGAGGAGGGGCCCCAAGGGCTCCCCCAGCCCACTTTGCGGGAGCCCCGGCAGTCAGGAGCATCCTGCCTGCGTCGGGAAGATGTTTACATCAAAAGCAGAGCCGGACAAGTGGACTGGCGTGGGGAGGTTGGCACGCCTCTGTCACAGCCATCATTATAGGGTACGGGGATAATCACGCCACGCCATGCTTGTAATTATGGGACATGGTTTCCCTTTTCGGCGGTGAGGCAGGGAGGGCAGTGGAGGAGGCAGCTCCCGGCGAGGCTGGGGCCAGTGCTCCTGCCCTGGGGTTGGCCCAGGTTTAAAATAGGCTTTGCAGGGTGAGGCCCAGCCCACTGGGACAGGCTCAGTCTCCCCGATGCCTGGCCTTATCACACAGGAGGGCTGTTCTAGAGACTCTGGGGCCTCCTCGGAGACACTGGACAAGCCCATGACTGAGGCCAGCAGCACTTGGGGTCTCCACAGCTCCCAAACGCCGCTCAGGAGCAGTTCAGAGGCCAGAGCTCATTTGACTGGCTGAGTGTCACTGTGCCTAAAGCCACCTCCTCTGCAGAACTCAGTGTATCCCCCGCAGTTCCCCAGGAGGACCCTTGGAGAAGCCAGGAGACGCCCGAAGGCCACGTAAATTCTGTCCCCACTGTCATCCATCCGCTGAATACAGACACGGTCATGGGTCATTCAAACAGTGGCTTCTTGTGATCTCAGGAGGTCTGTTCTCAGTTCAGCCGGGGGCTTGGAGCACCTGCTGTGGGTAGGGCCCTGACTCAGGGTTGGCGGAGGAGGGTGGGGTATATGATGAGCAAGGGAGGCCCTGGCCCCAGAGCTGGTGTGCCGTCGGAAGGGACAAGCCTGGGGCCTCGCAGTGGGTCACAAAGGGACCCCAGGCTTGGACAGTTGCTTCTTGGAACCTCAGTCTGTGTCTCTACAGGAAGGACCTTGGCAGAGGCTGCTTCTTCGAGAGGTTTTGCAAAGCTTGGAAGAGGATCCAGCTTTCAGCCCAGAACCTGGTGAGTTGTAAGGGTGGTTTGGAGGGGTGCTGCTGTCTGTGTCATGCTGGGGTCACAAAGGCAGGACCCCGTGGTGGAAGTCGCTCCCAGCAAAGCTGGGGGCTGGCGGTGGCCCCTGACCTGCGGGCCAACAGAGGGAGGGTGGCTTTCTCTGGATGGAGGGGGGCTTTAGGGCAGAGGCCAGGAGGAGATGCAGAGCTGGGGCAGCGGGAGGAAGCAGGCCAGCCTGGCAGGTGGGGGGCATCCGGTGAGTGACAAGGCAGAAGGTGTGGCCAGCTAAGACCAGGGCTCTGGGGGGCTGCCCTTGGCAGGACAGGGTGAGGCTTTTGATAAGATAAAAAGAAAAAACACAATGGGATGAAGTGAAATCCACATGACATGAAATGAACCACTTCAAAGTGGACAGTTTGGTACATTCTTGATGTGCGACCTTCGCCACTGTCTGGTTCCAGAACATTCCATCCCTCCCGGTAGAGCCCCACACCCCGTGGCAGCTCTCCCCACGGTGCTCCCCAGCCTCAGCCACGGCTGCTCCCGGTCACCATGGATGGCCCTGACCTGGACATTCCGCATCCTTGCAGTCACTGCTCCTCTCACACTGTTTCGTTTTTCTTAACGGTGTTCACACATGATTTCTTTTTCATAATTTTCTCGAGGTTCATCCGTGTTATATATCAGAACGTCGCTCCCTTCCGTGATTGAGTGATATTCCGTGGTGCGGCTTTGTCACGTTTGTTGACCCATGTGCCCACTGATGGACATTGGGGCTGCTTCCAAGGGGGTCCCATTAAAGCCCCATTAAAGCCAAGGGTCCCGGGCAAGGCTGAGAGGTGCAGACAGCCCAGCCCAGAAGGAAGTGCAGGCTTCTGGACACCCTTTGGCTCCTGACGGCAGACACAGGGGGTCAGCTTCCGGAGGGCGTCTGTCTCCATGGGCTTAGCCAGCAGAGGGGCCCCCAGACCCGGCGAGCCACCCGCCCGCGCTCGCCTCGGGAGTCTGTCTATTTATGAAGCACTAAAACAGCACTTACTGGGTGCCGGCCCCGTTCCAAATGCTTGATAAGTATCAGCTCCCTGTGGTTCCTTCCATTCCATCCCCCCTTCCAGGTGAGGAGCCCGGCGCTCAGAGCGCGGGAGGCACACAGGTGTGAGTGCGGGCCGGGGACTCAAACCCAGACAGCCTGGTCCGGAGCCCGGAGCCCCTGCCGAGCCCTGGGCTCTAGGCTGGAAACCCCGAGTTGCCCAGACCTTGGCCATCCCTTCCCATGCCCCGATTTGAGCCGGACCCGGGATCCTCCTTCCCATTTTCTTCAACCCAGCTCACTTCTTAATAACCTTTTCATTGTTACTTTTATTTTTTAATTACGGTAAAATGCACAGGATATGAAAGGTACCATCAGCCATGTTGGAGGACAGAGTTCTGTGGCGTTAAGTGCATGCACACTGTTGTGTGGCTGTCACCACCCTCTAGCTCCAGAACTTTCCATGCTCCCAAACCAAACCCCGGAGGGGGCGGCAGGCCTCCTGGTACCAAGCCGAGATTTGCCTGGGGCACTCCAAGTGACCAAGAGAGACCAAGAAGACTGAGCTGTGTCCACA